ATCTAAGAGTTCCAAGCTCTTCTCAGTCTTCTCTCCCTTCCCCCAAGCCCAGGGGAGCTGAGGGCAAGAAGGGCTTGGATCTCTTAGATCCAAGCCCTTTCAGCCTTACCTTTGCTCTCCCCCCAGCCCACCCAAGTCGGCAGGAGCCCAAGGCTTTGACCTAAGAGAATGGCTCTTAGATCAGGGGGTGTGGCATATGCAAATAGGTTATGCTAATAAGCTCCTGCACCTCTTTTTCTATGAAATGACCCCTGAAAACAACCAGGGGTTTTTCCCTGCTTAACAATAACATCTGAACTGCCATGCTTTGGCAGTTCTAGCCCCGTGCTGGTGTGAGCAACCAAGCCTTGTCCTAGCTCATCGTCTACCCAGTGATTCGAAAGCTTCGGCGAGTAGATAAATTGGGGACCACCCGTAAGGGGGTGGGCACACCCCTCTCTTCGGGAAGGTGTTAGCTACCGAGGCAACTTCTGAGGCGTGGCGACCGGAAAGACGAAAAAACTGTCGGCTTCCCTGCAGTGAAGCGAGTCAGCCAGGTGGTGGCAGTGTGTGGCTGCACAACATCAAGAAGCCAGACGTCATCAGCCAGCCGACAAGATGCCGTCGGAACACGACTGACCCAGCCCGCAGATGAAGCCCGGCTAGCTGCAATGTGTGTGTAATTAATGCTGTATGTTTGTGTTCCCTATCCCCACAAATATTGTTAGTCCAACTGTCTCAAGAGTAACTGTAAATCGCTCTGAGCCCGCAGGTATGTGGGAAAGAGTGATCAATAAATCGAAAGCATTATTATTATTATTCCAAATTAAGAGTTTAGTCTCAGTAGCTCCATGGCAGTATCTCCACTGCTGCACTGTGGATGCAGAGAGGGCTAACAAGGTTGGACACAACCCCCAAAAGGAGTCTTTGTTGTTGTTGTTAATTGTTGTTATTATTAATAATAATTTTTGCCATCAAATAGCAGCTGACTTATGGCAACCTCATAGGGTTTTAAAGGCAAAAGATCTTCAGAGGTAGTTTGCCATGGCTTGCCTTTACCTAGCAGCCCTCATTAACCTGGGCCGACCCTGCTTAGCTTTTGAGATTGGCCTAGCCTGAGCTATCCAGATCAGGGCAATAAGGAGTCTTATAACATTTTAAAAGCTACTAGATGGGTAGGTGTATATACCCTAACTACAAATCGTTTTGGTGTTTTTAATATACAGAATGAGTTCAGAAAGCTCACAATGCAACAGCTAGGTGTATACTATCTGTAATTCCAGTCCCATGGTTACTGGACCCAATCAGAGTATGTCTGTCCCATTCCAAACCCGAGGCCCTCAGTCCTGAACTGGCACCGCACCGTGGAAAGTGTAACAACCCGCCCCCAAGGGACCATTGCTGTAGACAGACCCCATTGTCATACTGGCTGACACGGCAAGGAGTTTCAGGTCAGAGTCTTCTACTGACATTTTTGCCTTGAAGAATGGCAACTAAGTTATACTGCAGATTGCCTCCCTTGCCTCCACAAGGCATTTTGCATTGTTCATGTGGTGTTTGTTTTTGCAGCAGTGACCTAACACGGTCTTCCTCTGGCTTGGGTGCCTTCCCTTTGACTCTTGGATAACGATGGCTGTGGGAACAGCAGGGATGGCCTGGTTATTTATCTCCCTGTGACTCTAGGAAACTCAGCCACCACCACATCCTGACTTTCACCACATTCCTGACTTTATGCTGGACATTTGGAGCAAGGAATCATACCTGGTTGTGTATGTGTGTACATGTGTTGTGTTTGTCTTAACTCATAGAACGCAAAAAAAAGTCCGACAGTGTTTAACAGAGAACAGGCACAGTTACCCAGTAGGTCAAGAGATTTATTGGGCTTCTCACCTCTTTGGGAAATGTACATCCAGTGAACAGACAACAGCTTTGCCAGTTCCTCTCACACTCAAAACGGTCCCATAACAACCATGCATTTGAAAAACGACAACAACAACAACCACCTTAATTTTATTGCTAGAAAACATTGTCCCTGTCCCCATTTGGTCTCACTTCGAGGAAGCCCATACTCACCAAGGAAATATTTCTGACTTCTCCGCATACTGCAGGTAAATAAATAATGCAATGTGAGAGAGGAGAGTACACTTTCCAGACTCCAACCTGTAGCCAAGTACTGGGATGGAGGTTCCTGAAACAGCCACATTTCTTGGTTACCCATATTGGGTTCCCCTGATGGGTAAATGGGATCAGATGGGCAGGAGATGGGAGAGGGGGACAGGAATGGTTCTGGGCTTTGACTGACACAAATTGTCCTAAGATTCAGGCATAACAGGGTATCTAGGGCCCATCTGAAGACTGCATCTCTTGTGACTGTTTCTATCTTGGATATTACTTACATACAGGAAAACTTACTATGAAGCCTTCCAAAGTGACTAGCCCACAAGATTTTTTACAAGCCAGCCTACCCACAAAAATAGTTGGTTGTATTCAGAACAAAATATTTGGTTGTATTCAGAACAGGGGTGGCTGGGGGGGGGGGAGAAGGGGGGGATTTACTGCCTGCTCACCAATGTTCCCTCTAACCTGTGGAGTCTTGTGAGCAAAAATCCTGCTTTGTGAGCTATAGGCATTAAAGTTGTGAGCGAGCGATTTGGCTACTGCATAAATTAGTTTGCTCTGGAGCCATCCTTCCTAAGCTAAGACAAAAATGTGTGAGCCAGAGGCTAAAAAACTGTGAGCTAGCTCACATTAACTCAGCTTAGAGGGAACACGGCTGCTCACTCAGAAACAGTTCATATGTACCAATGGTGCGTGAGCAAGAAGCTCTTCCTAAACTGTGCTGTAGGGAGTGGGTATGCAGCACAACCATGCAACTGGGAAAATACTATAGGAGGCTGCTCATCACACATGGCAGCACAACAATCACAAGGAGAGCATAGATGTACCACCAGGGCTCAGCTTATTTCCAGCCATTTGCAATGCAGGCAGCAACACCATTTCCTGGACCCACAGTACTACTGGGACAGGAGAAGGTAATGGGTGTACTTTGCTTAGGGTGACAGGCCTTGAACTGGCCTGGGAATCTGCCCCTCCTGCCTCCTGATTCTCCCCTGAAATTCCCCACACTCCTGTTAATGATATCTGACAACGTTTTTTTCTATGAAACCATGTTATTGATGACCATATCCAGGACAGCAACAACCACAACACATGCACATCCCTCAGAGGCATGCACATCCCCCACCTTTCCCCCACAGAAGCATCTAGGGCATCACTGCGATGCAGGGGTCATTTCCTGTGGGAGCGCACAGGAGCGGAGCTCTGGCAGTAAGGAGCCCAGGGGGCGGGCACATGCAACAAGCACATGCAACAAGCCCCCTGCCCCCAGCAGCCCTCAGTCGGGCCATGAGGAGCAAGAAGCAGCCAGGTAAGTTGCAGAGCGCCCACCCCCCCCCCCCTCAGGTACAAGCCCTCCTCTGTGAGGGCAGATCTGCGTGTTCCCCCCCCCCCATAGCTAGCAATTCAAAACAATCCAGTGGCACCTTTAAGACCAAGTTTTATTCAGGTACAAGCTCTCCCTCCTCTGTGAGGGCAGATCTCCACGCCCCCTCCCCAATAGCTAGCAATCCAAAACAGTCCAGTGGAGCCTGAGTGGCGGGTGTTGCCTTCTGACACGCTTCCGGTGATGTCAGGGGTGTTTGGCATATGCAAATGAGTTATGCTGATGAGTTATGCCACTGAGCTCCTGCCCCTCTTTTTCTACGAAATGACCCCTGGTTGCAATACCCTTTTTATAAAAGCAGGCACCTAAGAGTGGACACGGCATCCTGAACCAGTGAAAGCCATTTCCTACAAAATGACCCCTGCTGCTATGCGTTACTCGGACAGAGTCGTCCAGCTTGGCATGGTGTGATAATGGAAGATCAGAGCCCAAGAGAAAGTCAGCTCCTCCAGTACCATTAAGAAGTAAAAGGAAATGAAGGAAAGGTAACGGGATCAATCTCTAACCCTTTCCCTGCCCCCCCCCCACTAACAGGGACTTCCACTTCCAGATTTGGGCCCTCAGGCAACTTTTCGAGAACCTTTAACTCAGGTGAGTTGACATGAACCACCCCTTGAGAAATACAGTCAGGTGGCTGCTTAAAGCAGGGTGAAAGATTTTATACACACACACACACACACACACCTTGCAGCCCATTCTCCAGTCTTTCAGTGCAGGTTGATGGGTGGAGTGACTGCTGTCATTTGTCGGTGAATGTGTTCATTACCTTAGGCTGAGTCTGGTGAATCCAGAGAAGGTGGGTGCTTAAAAAATCCCCTCTCTGTTGTCTGTTCCCTCATCATCCATTGTGTCCCCCTCCTGCCTGCTTGTCACTGCCCACAACACCAGTTGATTGGCAGCTGGACGTGATCCCACCCCCATCATTCGGCAGTTAAGGAGTTCCCCATATCGTCCCCATATCGTCGCCCATGCGGCTACTGTAGATGTCACATTGCTATCAAGCACAACAAGGCAGTGCCTCGAGAGGCCCAGCTCCTGAGGGGAATTGCTTTTGTGGGACCCCCACAGAGCTTCATGGGACTCTAATCCCCTTCCAGCTGTCCCCTTCCAGCTGTCCTGCTGCATCAGATCACTCATACACCCCCTTCTACTTTCTCAGTCTGCCTGCTGGGGTACAGGATTTCCTGCCCCTCATTCATTCGTCCCAAGCTTCGGAATCTCCACTTGCTACCCGCATCCACCTGGTTAGCCCCCCCAACTTTGTATTGGAGTTTCTTGAACCAAAATAGCAGCATATGAGCCCAGCCTTGGGCATTCCCCTTCTGCAGCCCGAAAGGGCTCTTTGGAAACAGTGGAGTAGTCAACGCCTCCCTTCAGCCCTTGTTCTTGGGGGAGGTCGTGGGGAGCCAGGGGACAGGTCCTGTGCCCCACCTTCCCCCACAACCAGGATTCCGGCTACCATGTCGCCCCTCCTAGGACCACGGAAGGTGACCTGCTCTTCTCCCTCCGTCACATCAGCTCAGCTGTCAAACTGTGCTGTGGCCAGTGGGTGGAAGCTGTCTGAAGCCAGGAGCATCTGGCCCAGACGATAGAGCAGTGCAGAGTACCAATGCACGCCTTCCGGTTGGGTCCGGTGGCCACCTGTCAGGCTGTGATAGAGTCGAAGGGGCCAGAAGGCCAGTTGTGCCAGGTGCTGCTCCTGCACCAGTGCAAAGCAGGAGGCCACCACTTCATCTACCACCACTGTTCCGTGGCTGGTGAGGGGAGCATATGCCCCGATGTCCATCTGCTTGGAAACAGCTGTTACTCTGGCTGGCTGCAGCTCAGTCCCCTCTGCGGCCAGCACATATTGGCCTGGGTGTACTTGGCTGGCAAAAACAGCCTTCGTGGGTGTCGTGACATTGTCCCCCACAAAAAGGAGGTGTGCTGCTGTGAGAGCGAGGCGACGGGGTGGATCTTGTGTCTCGATGATGTGGAAAGCAGTGTGCAGCAGAGGTGCCTTGTCCAGAAATGTCAGGAATTCACTGTATATGAGACGGCCTTCCTCATCCATGGCTTGGATCCGCTGCCCAGGCTTCAGTGCCCACAGTGGAATCCTGGTCCTGTTCTCTAGAGTTGCCAGTGCCCGGGCCGGGAAGCATCCTCCTGTCTTTGCTGCTGCTGAATGCTCTAGACCAAGACACAGAAACAGAGAGACAAGCCCAGTTACTAGGATGATGCTAAATTGAATGTCAGAGAATGGCTACAGGGATGCACAAGTTCCTTCTAAATGACTACAGGAATCTATTGATTTTTCAAAGGACCACTGGAA